GATGTCTTATATTTTATTATTGTTGGTTTGCCTTGGATAGTTTATATAAACTTTACACTTCAATGAAAAGGCCATTCCTACAAAATATATAACTCGCAACCAACTTTTTCTTCAAAGTTTTTGGAAATGCTGGCATTTGGACTCTCTAACTTCACTTTGTGAAAGATCTCAGTCTAGCAATGTAACTTCTAGTAATACTGATAAAGTGATAAGATAGCAGATATTGTACAAATTTGTAGTGATCACCCTCATTTACTTTGGAAATTAGGAAGAATACTTTTTTATTGTTGGTAACGCTAACCTTGTTTGTTCTGTACATTTAGTTACTCTGTACTCTGTAAAAGTCATTAGGCCCATTACCAAACTATCTGTTAGACATTAGTGTGAAAGTCTCTTGACTTGGGCTAACAATATCTGTTGAAACAATAAATTTTGCGCCTAGAGTAGACCATGCTGGCAAGCTGTAAAAAGGCTCCTTCTGCCTTACTTAAGAGATCAATTTCTTCTTGAATATTTTGTTTCACATGGTCCAATTATACTCTGTAATTATGCTGTATTGACTTAATTTGTAAAAGTATTTATGTAATTGTTATTAGGTAATAATCATCTCCATTTTGCTGGCCAGGAGGATGTCAGGAATGTAAAGTAGTCCTGATGTTGATGTGCAGTTTTCCACTATTATCTTTATATAGCTGTAGTTATCTGATCAGCCTCCTTGAGTCCTTGCCGCAACCAGTCATTTGTTAGAAGGCACCAATAGAACATCTCAAGCCATGTTGCCTTCACTTTTGTAATTCATGTTTGCCCAAATTGTGATCTATTCATAACTGTGCCAACTCTTAGAAGCTGGGTTTGCACATTAGAAATCTAGTCAACTCCAACTGCCACACTATACGGATATATGTTCGTATGGGCAGCTCATTCATGTTTAAACTCTTCTAGGGGAATGGTGCACAGTGCATTTTTTTCACCGGTCTAGTATGGTGCGCAGATTGATAAAATGACAATATGAATTCCCCTGACCCGGCATATCTTCCTGACCATGGCCCTCACCAAGAGTCTGGGTTTTTGCTTTTGGCACAAGGTAGCTAGGGCATCCACAGTCACTAGCTACTAACTTGGCAATTCAATTTAACTCTATTGATGTTGTCCTTTGTTTGGAATGAGCTTACCACTAGCATTTCTTAACATAAATAAATGTCCTTTTATTTTGAAACACAATGTTCCCTGATCTGCCTTCAGCAAATAATTTCCCTGAACATGATATTGACATATACGTCCAGTAACATCCAATGGTCCCCAATGTTGTGAGCTCTAGTGGATCAATTGATACAATGTTTATGATGCTTTAAACTAATGGTGCATTTTTCATGTGCACACAGTTGGTGGGACTGCTGCACTGACTGAATTCCTATGCAGATGTGGGCTGTTGGAACTGCCGCCTTGTAACGACCAAATCTCTCTGCAGATGTGGCGGTGGAGCTAAATGGACGCATCTCCAGAGCTACAATAAGCATCAAACAAGAAGAAGAGTAGTCAGTAGATTTGTAAGCGGTGGTGGAATGTATGGGGAGAACTGAGAAGCAAAGTGAAGCATATGCAATTGAACTTTTTGGCAACTTCCATCCCAAGAAAATGGCAAAATTTGCAACTATTTCTGAGCATTTCTTATATTTCTATTTACTATTGTTCATTTTCTTTCTGTAATCATTTGAAGAGCTTTGCATGATTGCTCCATGTCAGCCGTGCAGATGTTGCAGTGCTGGACATGATGGGCAAAAACAAACAGCAAAAGCAAAGTGGAGCCTCCAATCACTCATATTTGGAAAACTTTCTCCAGTTATGAAAAGTTATCACTGCTCTTTTGATCCAACAGTATTCAATCTCTTTCACAACCACCTCTCTCAAGTCTTATTTCAGACCTGAGCACTTCAACACATCCTGAACCAGACCCCTCACCTAAAAATTATGGTTCATGTATTATTTTTGATCCACCAAGACCAGCTTCTGGTTCAAACAACTTTGAGGCAAAAAAATGAACTTCTTGTAGGCTTTATATGTGTATGATCAGTTTTTATAATGTTATCACTTGGAAGTTGCAGGCTTGCAGGTGATACTCCACAATTAGAATTAATAACATTTTTATAAAAACAATCAATAAAATTAGACTTATAAAAAGTATTAGATGAAGATTTGTCTCATAAGTTGACTGCAATGAACTAAACTTCATTGGTAAGTAATTAAAACTCATGCTACCAAGCAGAATTTTCCATTATGCACACTGAACACACAATTCAGGGAAACGGGACAACATACCACAACAGGAGCACACATGCGACTAAAAGCTTCATTTCCCATGCATAATGTACTGAAATGATCATGGTTGATGGTATCTATCAGTTGTATATTCAGTGCAAGAATATGATTATTTACATTATTTTTGATAGAGGTTTGAAATATTTTTGGAAGCCAAAAATTTAAATAAATTATTTTGTTGGACTTGATTGTCTTCGAAAGAAATATTCTAATGCGTATTCATGAAACATTTTTAAAATAACTCAAATGATTTTCAATTGGATCGATTAGCTAGCATCAACAGCTGTTCTGAGCTCAGACTGCTCAGTGTGATTCCTGACATAGCTAAAGTATGTTGTAAGAGTGTAGGACAGACTGGAACTTATTATCCAGTTTGTTATGTTAGTGTGTTAACTTATTAGCCCTCTTGAATTCCACACTGCTCTCCACCTTAGCCCTAATAGTCTACTCACCTGTGATACTTTGTTAGAGCTTCTTCTCATGATGCCAATTGCCAAACTCTGCAACTAATTCTGGTATTCATAGTACAATGCTATTGTTATTATAAAAGAATATTGTATATGAAGATTTTGAACTAATCAATGCTCCCCTTGTGGACCGGTTCACAGGACACCACCTCTCACAAGGTGCCACTAAAAAAATTAGATCAGTACTCACTGCAGTACCGTAAAATGGGGTTACTTTGACCGGCGGGGTAACTTTGACCACTTTTCGTTTTTTTAACAAAAACCCCCAAAACTCAAAAACGATTCGACATAGAAAAATTTTGTCAATGGCCATCAAAGGCCTAATACTGAGGCTATGTAACACAATAGAAGGATTTAAAAAGTTTGCATATCTAATAGTGAAAAAATTAAAAATGTGACCCATTTTATGGTGAGTAAAGCTAAAGTATAGACCTGTATTTTGCATGTTTCAATTTAAGTTTAACTTATATAGTAAAAAAATGGCATCATTTTGAAAAAAAAAAGTGGTAAAAGTTACCCCATTTTACGGTAGGTGACAGAGTGTGCATTTTCTCAGAGAGCTCAAGTCACGGATGTAGAGACAGACATGACAAGTGCAGTAGCGCCTTTTCTTCCATAAATGAGAAAATGTGTTAACAAAAAACCACATTGGCAAGCAGCACCAAAGCCACCAACCAAATTTAAAGTTGGTCAAACTAAAAGGCCATATCAAACAAAGTTATGTCATTTGGTGCCTAAAGAATATTAGGAATTTATGTTTCCACTTGAATTTTAATGCTCTTGTCATTGAAAAACTTTAGAGTATCTCTCTTATCAAATATGCACATTAAATAAATTATAATTTGGCCATATACATTACTCAAAATTGTTTTCAGAACCAATTGGTCCATTTGTTGTTTTCTTTCAATCAAATGCATGGTTTACTAAAGTCACTTGACAATTATTGCTAATGTCAAGTACTAGATATGTGCTCATGCTACTAATTAATCATAAAAGTCTTATCCCCAGGTGGTGCAATTCAAGGATTGGTGGTACTTATTTCTCATGGCAAAGGATGCCTGGTCTTGGTCTCTCCCCCCCCCCCTCGGGGGAGAGAGACCAAGACCAGACTTGTGACTGACCCAATTTGGGATTAAAGATAAATATTATACTATTACGACTCATGCCATAATATGAAACCTGGCATGAAACTACATATCATTTTTACTTGCAATTTTAGGAAACATCTACTTAATATTCCAAACTATGATATGGGTCAGATTTTGTACAATGGATCATTTCAATTGAAGGCTGGCAACTCAAGTGCTGGGGCAACATTATTGGTGTTGATGGTAGTAATGGGTAAGAGGCATGGAAAAAATATACATGCCAAAATATTAGACAGCAGATAGTGTCCTGTATCTACTATCCATTCTAATTCTTGTATAAAACTACTTGATTTTTGAGATATCAAGTTAATACCTGTACCTACTTAACTTTTTTGACTTTGCTGCATTCAAATTTTAATAATAACTATCATTTTTCCAATGCTGCAGTTCCATTTTTCCAATGGAGCAGTTATGTTTAAATTTGACTTGAGAATTGTTAAACTTTGGTATCTGTCAGGCTTAAGTATTGCTAATTGTCGCATGTTTTCTAACCAATATATTCTCTTGGACAGAGTAATCTCTAAATTCTTCCATGATCCAAATTTGTAAAATAATTATAATAATAAAATTCTAAGATCAATTTTAGAGAGCTTTGAAGTCTAGTCTCATATTGTGGGATGCTGGTTCATAACTCATGTTTTTTTAACATGCCCTGGAATGCATTCCCTGGATATCATTTATTTTGAAATGAATAGAAAATAAACGCTCAATTTCTCAAGTGATGTAATGTGCATTCTTTGACTATTGAGTAAGCATAATATTACTACTAAAAAATTTTCATTCTTTAAATTAAATATTTCAAATATTTCTGACATGCTTATTTGTTCTCTTCTTTGTGTTACCTTACCTTATCCAAAATGTATCTTGAAACATGTCTTTTTTTTTTCAACCATAAATTTGTATTAAGTCATTCACTGTACACAGTCTTACTTTAATTGTTGTGATTTTTAGATGGTAAACATATACATGAATACATCAAAGCTTTTATATATATATTCTACAATCTATGTTGCATTACAAGATATTGGTAAAATCTAACTAGTTCCATGTTTATTTACCAAATTACATGTGTTATTTCTTCTTCTCAGGTGAATCCTTGGTCATCCTTTGAGCACAAAATGGTTCCGCATCCCGTCATTGATTTTGCATTCACAAGCCTGCAAGAAGGAGAAGGCAATACACTAAGCGCTACTTGCAAGTTTTGTCATGTAGAAAAAACTGTGAAATTCACCAGATCCAGCAAATCAAATTTACTTAAGCATTTGGAGCGCAATCACTATGAAGCTTTTAATACTTACATCAATACCTATCCTAAACAAAAAGTTTCAACTGGTCAACGTAAAGTACACATTGAATCTTCATCAGATTCATCACCTCCTGTTGAAACAACTCGCTCATTTAAATTTATTCTCCCCAAGTATGCTTCTTGCACCTCATCTTCTGACACTAAAGACACGTCAACATCTGATGCATTGCTGGTCCTGCGAGACCCAACTGCTTCTAAAGCAACGCAGCCTCTGCAAACAGCTTTGAAAACATTGGATAGCAAACCTCAGTGTTCCTGCTGTTCGGAAATTTTATCTGCTAGAAAAATGTACAAAACTTTGTTACAAGTTGCAGTGGAGAAATGCAGACACAAAAATGAATGTTGCTGCAAGAAGTTGATTAAGGATGGTGATTCTGAAGCACCTGATAATGAACCAAATATTTCACAAAAATCCAATGATAGGTTTGATGATTCAAGTTTTTTGTCACAATATGACAGCAAAAAAGGTGCAGTTGTTCATTTCTGTAAGGACTGCCTCATTCATCAAAGTCCATCAAGAGGTCGCCGTAAGGTTGGAGAATCATGGTCTAATGGAATCACTTTCAAAGACACCAGAAGCAAGAATTCGGCTAAGAAAAGGCATCTTGAAAGTGCTCAACATGCAGAAGCTCTTGAGTTGAACAAGCGTGAAGATGAGCATGAGATTAGAAGTGGGTGTCCAACCAGTGATGAGCGCCAAAGTTCAACAAAGAACTCAATGATAGCTGGAATATTTATGGCAACTAATTCCTTGCCATTTGTTATGTATACAGCATTGTGCGCATTACTTGCAATTATTTGCCCATCTCGTGTAAGCCATCCCTTGGGCAACCGTCATCAGTCTCCTCTTGGTATCCGAAACATAATCCTTGCCAATTATGAAGCCTGTGCCACCACAGTGAAGAATTTCTTTGCAACCACCTTTTCAGCTACAAGAAGTACCAGAAAATTCATGATTTGTTGCAGCAGAGGTACTGCTCCCATGGATGTCTCTCGACAACCTATTGTTGCTACCTACGTTGCTGACAATGGCCTGCCAAAAGAAGTTCTTCTTGATGTTTCAATGATTCAGCAAGGAGATGTGCTGTCAACTATGAATCATTTCAAAGAAACTGTTTCTTCATTTCTCGACCCCTCATCCATTGTGTTTATATGCACAGATGAAGCTTCTGAGCACTTGGGGAAGAATGAAGGCTTCTTGGAAAATTTAAAAGCATCAAATGAATATCACAATGTAATTGAACTCCCTGATTTCTGCCATAAAATAGAAAAATTGTTCCATGAAACACTGCCTCAGTGGGCTATGGTCTGTTTATCAACATCCAGAGATATTGCGTCTTTCATCGCTGACCAGAATGTCATGAAGCAAATTCACAGGCACATCAATGTTGTTCATGGATCAACTTTTACTGTTAGCCTGAACCAGAGTCAGACTCATTCTGTTGAAAATGTGCAACTCCACTTAGAAGCCATTTTGAACAACATCCAAATTTTGTTTGAAGCCTTACCTGAATTGATACATGATAAGAATTCAATTGGTAACAGAGCAAAATCAATTCTAAGATTGCTTATTAATGATTGTTTTGTTGTCAGAATGATGATGATTCATAGACTTTGCAAAACTATGCTTAGTAAACGAAAAGGTGCTCAAGACATTAGCTTTGGACCATTAGAATACAAGCACCAAGTGGACAGCCTTGCTTCAGAATTGTCTGAACTAAAGATCCCTTCTATTAAGATTCAAAGTTTTATGAAGAGTGGAATTCTTGAGTTGAACTTTGGAACTCACACCTCGCCCAAGTTTAAAAGCTTTAACTTTGAAGAAATGGCATTAAAAGCAGGCTTGACACCACCAAGCCAACTTGATGTATGTAGGGTTGATTACATGGCTTCTTTAATTGAAGAGAATTCCAAATGGATTGACAGAATTTGTCAAGAAGCTAAAAAAAACTTGGAGATCCCTGCTGCCTTAGTTTATGTTACAGAGTCATTTTCTCTCCATAAGAAGTCATTTATTACAGAGAAGTTGACAGCTTTAACCAAATTATTTGATATCTTGAATGTGCAATTTGAGATGTGTGGCAGTGAATGCATTGGAGTTCACGAGTGCACTTGTTTGAAAAACGACTATGTAAACTTCATGGACCTATTCCAAAGTGAATGGGAGGCTGCACCTGACAACAAACTGATCAAGATTGGAAGTGCAACAGCACAGTCCTACACCCATGCATTTGCTCATTACATCAGCACCAACAACAGCACACCAACGTATCCAGTGAACATCATACGGTGCCTTGAAGTCATCCAGCTCATGAAGCCGACTCTAGCGGCCACGGAAAGAGTGATGTCACACGTGGCAATTGCTGTCAGAAATAAATATGAGGCCAAGGAATACAACAATGGAATAGAATCTGATGGAGATGGACCTGACATTGATACTGTCCAGAATGAAGTGTTTCTCAGATGGAACACAAACATGGTCCAGCATGATGCAGACCTTGCTAGAGAAATATTCCTAAGAGAACATAAGGAATCTATGATGAAAACTAAAGTGTCCACTGAAAAGAGTAGAGCAGTTAATAATTACTTGAATAAACTTGCAACTGCTGTCGTGACATCAAATCCACGTAAGAGAAGTTTTGTTCCAGATTTTGAAAACTCGGGAAACAAAAAATTTAGAAGGGAGGTTCCATCTCCTTTCAACGAAGCCCTCGATTCATTGTGTCTCCCTGAAGGTAATAATTAATATTATTAATTAATAATTAAAAGATAATTAATAATAAAAAACATTCTTGCCATCCTCAATTTAATGTTATTCGATTATTTGGAAAATAACACACAATATGCCAGAGTTTCAGAAGCAGGAATGGAATTTTATGAAATTTTTAATGTTTTTAAGAAGATTAAAAAATATTCCTTACAATTAAAAAATGTTTACATTTGACACATGTTTTTACATTCACACACAAATTGAATTCAATGTAGTTTTATAAACAATAACTTATTATTTCCCAGGCACAGCATTAGAAGATGTTCAACATCCTGTTGGTGAAGTTTCCGTTGACAACATCAAGCATGAGGTGCAGGATGCCACTGAGTATGTTGAAGTCAAAATGGAACCCTTCTCCGATGATGATGATGATGATGAGGTATATATATCCTTCTCCGATGATGATGATGATGAGGTATATATATCCTTCTCCGATGATGATGATGATGATGTATATATATCCTTCTCCAATGATGATGATGATGATGTATATATATCCTTCTCCAATGATGATGATGAGGTATATAGTATATAGCTTAGAGTGATTTTTAGTCAATTTTCTCATTTATGGAAGGAAAGGCGCTATTGTGCTTGCCATGTCTGCCTGTCTGTCTCCGTCTGTCTGTCTGTCCGTCTGTCGGTCCGTCTATCTGTCCGTCCGTCCGTCTGTCTGTCTGTCTGTCCGTCCGTGACTTCACAATTTCATCAACGAGAAAAAGCGCTCTCTGTCACTCACTGCAATGAGTATATACTGAGTTATATTTTTAAAATATTTATTATATACATGAACCAGGGTTTATGCATTGTAAAAATTTCTCAAGTTTGTTGAAAACCTTATTTTTGATAGTTAATGTATCAAGAGTATCTATCATATCCCAATTTTTTTGTCATTCGTCATGAGGAGTCAAGGAACTGTATTTTGTAAATTTTCATGGATTAGATGCTCTCCATCTCCATTCATATATGTTTTATTTTCTAAATATTCTGACATTCCCATATAAAAGAAGCCAGTCCCTGTCATCTTAGAAAAAAGAATTAAAAAAAAAAGAATTAAGAATTAAATTTAAAAAAATAATTAAATTTAATTAAAAAAGAATTAAAAAAAAGAAAAGCCATTAAAAGAAGCCGATATTTCCATCTTATACAGTCAGTTCATAAGTCCCTGCCCTGTATGTATCATATTTGTTAGGAATTATTTCAGTTGGGCTTTTATTTTCAAAGGTTAGGTATTTATAATAAATAAATGCATTAGGTCTGCGCTATAGCATCAAAATGAGCCGTCTCTTCTGATTTGGTCTTAACTTTTAGCTTTTGGTTAGGGTATAGACATGCCCGTGTGTAAATTTGCTGAACTTTGTGATTTAAGGATTGTCAAGTAATTAAAGGATTGATTTGAGGTGATTTAAGGATTGATTTAAGGATTTAATAAGTGGTTAAAGGATTGAAGGATTTTGATTTAAGGATTGATTTATTTAAAGTGATTTAAGGATTCAATAAATGGTTAAAGGATTTAAGGACTGAAGGATTTTGATATAAAGATTGATTTAAGGATTTAGCAAGTGGTTAAAAGATTGAAGGATTTTGATTTAAGTATTGATTTTAGGTGATTTAAGGATTTAACAAGTTGTTAAAGGATTGATGTATTTTGATTTAAGGATTATTGACCTGTAGACATTAACACAACATAAAATGACCTGTCCATGCCCACAGAGCAGCAGCAGGTCGTCCTGTGCTGGGGGAGCAGCTGCTGTCTTTGATTTATAAAAGAATAATGCATTAGGTCTCAGGATAGCATCAATATGAGCTGTCTCGTCTCATTTGGTCTTAACTTTTAGCTTTTGGTTAGGGTATAGACATGCCTGTGTAAATTTGCTGAACTTCATGATTTAAGGATTGTCAAGTTAAAGGATTGATTTGAGGTGATTAAAGGATTTAATAATAAGTGGTTAATGGATTTAAGGATTGAAGGATTTTGATTTAAGGATTGATTTTAGGTGATTTAAGGATTTAATAAGAATGGGTTTAAGGACAGAAGGATTTTGATTTAAGGTGATTTAAGGATTTAACAAGTGGTTAAAGGATTTTGATCTAAGAATTATTGACCTGTAGGCATTAACACAACATAAAATGACCTGTCCATGTCCACAGAGCAGCAGCAGGTCGTCCTGTGCTGGGGGAGCAGCTGCTGGTGGCAGCGATGTCTTCTTTGAATGATCCTCCCTATGCTCGCCCTCAGGAGCAACTGCCAACGTAATTGTGCTTAGCTTTACATCTAGAAATTTTTATTTATTTTTATTTTCTTATGAATGTAATGACAAGTCATTTTTATCCATCATTTTGTTTTGGATATAAGAATTATTTAGTTTAGGAAGCTAGTTAGTTTTAGTGACCGTGAGCAATTGGCAACGTAATTGTGCTTAGCTTTAGATCTAGAAATTTTTCTTAATTTTTTTTTTTATTATTTTTATTTTCTTATTTTTATCTATTTTTTGTGGATATGATGACAATTATTTATTTATGAACCTAAATTGTAAGTTTTGGTGACATATTGACATTTTGTTGTCATTAGATACGTTGTCAGTTGGTAACGTAATTGTGCTTAGCTTTAGATCTAGAAATTTCATCATTTTATCTATTATTTTCTTATGGATATAATGACAATTATTTACTTTAGGAAGCTAATGGTAAGTTTTAGTGACCTGAGCAATTGTCAATTTAATTGTGCTTAGCAATAGATCTAGAAAATTTTTTTTATTTTTATCTATATAATTTCTACAGATATGATAAATCTTCATTTTAAGAAGCTAAATGGTAAGTTTTAGTGACTGGCATTTTGTTGTCTTATTTTTAAATTTATTTATTAAAGCTTCCAGATCTAGATCTAGTGTGTGCTGAGCTTTAGATCTAGAAATTTTGTCATTTTTATCCATCATTTTATTATGGATATGATAAATGTTAATTTTAGGAAGCTAAATAGTAAGTTTCAGTGACTGACATGTTGTTGTCGAAGATTTTTTTTATGTAAAGCTTTGCAATGCATGAAACCGTCAGGCATTAAACAAAGCTTCCAGATCTATTTTGTTAAGCTTTAGATTTAGAAATTTTCTTATTTTTATCTATATTTTTTACGAATATGATAAATGTAAATTTTAGGAAGCTTAAGAGTGGCAAGTTTTAGTGACTGACATATTGTTGTCTTATTATCAAATTTATTTATTGAAGCTTCTAGATCTAGATCTAGTGTGTGCTTAGATTTAAATCTAGAAAATTTTCTCCTTTTTATCTATTTTTGTGGATATGATGACAATTATTCATTTTAGGAAGCTAAATTGTAAGTTTTGGTGACATACGGTATTGACATATTGTTGTCATTATAGATATCTAATCTATATGTCATTATAGATATTTAATCTATAATGAAATATTGTTGTCATTATAGATATTTAATCTATAATGAAATATTGTTGTCATTATAGATTTTTTTATGTAAAGCTTTACAATGCTTGTAACCGTCAGACATTAACCAAATATTCCAAGCGTTAAGCTAAAAAGAAAAACTATAGCATCATTGTGAGGCAGGGTTGCAAAAAAAAAAACAGTTTTTTTTAACTGTTCAATTACCAGGGTTTTATTGAGAAAACAAAACAGGCGAAATGAGCAAAATGTTCTTCATATTTCTTGCGCAAAATGACTTGCACTGATGGTTGCCGCCACGCAACTATCACCATCATTAAAATGTTCTCTGTTGCGTACAAACGTCCTCAGGTTGCTACACTCAATAATTTACGTATAATTTAAGTTGAAAGTTATGTTCCCGGAGAGTGACATACGGCGGTAGAGGGTTAAGGGGGTTACTATAGACTAATAAATATAATTGTCAGCAGTTAGCCTAATAATAATAATTTTCAGTAGAAGACCCTCAGTAGAAGACTGAGGTAGAAGACCCTTTGGACTGTCACCAATTCTGAATATTGCAAAATTTTCACAGCTTATGGCGGGCCTCGAACACGCAACTCAATGCATCAATTTGATTCTTTAAACTTTAAACACTTTGCCACCCTGCCTTGTAGGTATTGCCGCCACGTACGACAACTTTAAAATGTTCTCTGTTGCGTACAAACGTCCTCAGGTTGCTACACTCAATAGTTTACGTATAATTTAAGTTAAAAGTTATGTTCCCGGAGAGTGACATACGGCGGTAAAAAGGTTAAGGGGTTACTATAGACAAATAAATATAATTGTCAGCAGTTAGCCTAATAATAATAATAATAATAATTGTCAGAAGAAGATTAGGCCTTTGTCATTAATTATCGCAGAATTTTCAGAGATTAGCGGGCCTCGAACACGCAACTCAATGCATCAATTTGATGCTTTAAACTTTAAATACTTTGCCACCCTGCCTTGTATGTAAGATAACTATGGCTTGCATTATGGGGCAACAAGTGTGCTTTTGGGGTAACTATAGTTTCCTTTTTAGGGTAACTATAGCTTCTTTATGACTTAACACGTTGACTACGATTGCTTCATCTTGTACGATTATTTCATTTTTTCTACTTTTTTTAAGCAGGGTTGCCAGACGGTCATTTTTTCCGGACAAATTCCGTGATTTAGTTTGTCTCAATTGCGTTGGCTGGCTAAAATTTATGATAGGGGTACTTCCTAATTAAATTTTAAATACTGCAAAAAGAAAATAAATGGAATTTTTATAGCGGAACCTACAAATAAACTAGTATACATTGAATTATCGGCCTTTTTTGTTATCGGATTTGGCCGATTTTAGGCGACCTGAATTATGTACCACTACCTCCTGGAGAAATACATTTCGTGGTACGCATATGTACCAATACGTAGTCAACGTGTTAACTATATATTGCATTATTGCATTGAAGTTGAGAGCCGACGCCTCATAAGTAACCCCTATACTCCTCACTGCAGCTGCTAATGCCTTAAGCACAGAAGAACTTTAATGAACGGGAAAACGGGAATGTTTACTATTGTTTACCCAGTTTATTTCACTAGATATATTCAAAAAATAAAGCGTCCATGTTAACAATTATCTTTACATTACAGACCCTGGCGGGGAGACCGGCGTCACTCCTGCAGCAGACCACACGACGCGGGTTGCCCGCGCCTTCCTTTTATTTATTTGACTATTGATTATTAAAATAATTAATAATGTGCTGCTCATCCATCACATCCGTGAAATCTTAATATAAAATTAAAATTTTACAAAATATTAATGAATATTTAGATATTCATGATAAATATCAGTTTATTTGATTATTAAAATGATTAATAATATTGATTATTTCCTCTGCGAGTGTCATCCATGTGCTCCTCATCCATCACATTCCTAAAGTCTTATAAGATTACTAATAGTTTACAAAAATATTGAATATTTTGATATTCATTATGAATAAATAAAACATTATTTATTCATAATCAATATTTTACTTACAATTTCATTTTTTTCCAGTGTGTTTAAATATATTTCTAAGCAGAAACTTTGAGTTGATATGTAAAAAAGGAATAAATTTTTACTGTAAAAGTTACTCGTGTTATTGCTACCTGGACAGCACATTCCTATGTTATTCTTACCAGAGATAAAATTTCTTGACGTGTTGAGGAACATAAATAAAACAAAGTTAAATTTCTTAGTTTATTCAAAGTTTATGCGCGCAATAAAAGTTAATTCATCTTTTTATACAGAAAAAGTTAGACCAAGAAGAAGAGAAATAAAGCTGCTTGTCGTTTCACCCACAATTGAAAATTCAAAAAAATCACACTTTTTTTCAATTCATTTTTGCAAAAATATTCGTAGTTTTCAAATTTTTTTCCTCGTGAAGTTATAGATCAAAAAGTTATTAAGAATTCGAAAATGTAAGCGTTTTTTTATAGAAAAATACCATTTGTTAAATATGCCTACAGATCAAGCACGAGAAACTGTTAGTGGAAAATAAGTTCAATGTTTTATTTTAGTGAAGAAAAAAGACGGAATATTGCAATTATTAAGCATAGGCTGAATAAGATATCGTATCTTTAATGAACCTTGTTAGTAGCTGCAATGCGCGGCGCTACAAATCAATGAAAATGTTATAGTTTATAATCAATGAAGTTTATAAATTTTTGTGAAATAATAAGATTTCTTTGCCACGTCTGATGCCCTCAACATTAGAGGACATCTGCCCTCAACATTAGAGGACATCTTCTGCCCTCAACATTAGAGGACATCATCTGCCCTCAACATTAGAGGACATCTTCTGCCCTCAACATTAGAGGACATCTTCTGCCCTCAACATTAGAGGACATCGTCTGCCCTCAACATTAGAGGACATCTTCTGCCCTCAACATTAGAGGACATCTTCTGCCCTCAACATTAGAGGGCAACATTGCGAGGGTAAAGTGAACATGAGGCAGCAGATAAGTTAGTTAGTACACATGAACAATTATTATTAATATAGTCAAGCTATAAGCTAGTAGACTATGTACGTGTAGACTATAGAGTCTACTGGTCACTATAGTCTGCCAGTAGACCATAGAGTCTACTGATCACTATAGTCTACCAGTAGACTATAGAGTCTACTGGTTACTATATAGTCTACCAGTTGTAGACTATAGTCTACTGGTAGATTATAGAGTCTACTTGTAGACTATATAGTCTACCAGTAGACTATAGAGTTTACTGGTAGACTATTTAGTCTACTGGTCACTCTAGAGTATGCCAGTAGACTATAGAGTCTACTGGTACATAGAGTAGAGCAGTAGAAGCTAAGTAGACTATGTACAACTAGGTCGTGAAAAACACATTTTTTGTTCCACTTGAAAATTATGAAAAATTTCAATCGAATTCTGTGAACAATAGCGAAAATGAAATAAAAATGAACATAGCATCACAGTGTAGAGTTATGGCTATGTCTGATTAACGATAAATCAGACAAATTAATTAGAAGTTCTAAGGAGAAATATTAATCAGATTCGTTATTAGTACGCAAAAATTATCAAGTTTAACAATTGTGTTCAGATTTTTCGTAATGAGATTCAAGATGGCATTCGTCAAGGCGCTTACAGAAAAAAAAAGAAATTCTTTTAATTTTCTTAGTAAAAAATGAAAAAATATTAATTAGAAGCTAATTAAAGATTATTCGATAATTAGAGAGAAAAATTTTTGGATTTACCCATTGCATGTGACAATAAATATCGAGTTCGACTTTGGATAACAAAATTAATTATTTTATATTTAAAGTATGCAACTAAAGCAATATAATAAATTTGTATCCTAACCAGTTCAGAAATTTTCCGTGAAATTGAAACACTTTATACGAAACACTAACAGTACAATAACTGTTAAATAAAATACAATATTTTTACCCACTGTCCCTTTAGAATCGCGAAACAATTTGTTATAATGGCCAAAAAATTTTTGCAAATTCGTAAATTTCGCGAATCATTTCACAAATTTTACACATGTAGTAAAAATTTTGAAATTTAAGGAAAACATTTCTTCTGAATATTCAAAATTCTTGCATTTCGTGAATCATTTTAAAAATTTAACTCATGTACCGTACCAAAAAATTTGAAATTCAAGGAAATCAATTTTTTCTGAATATTCAAATTACAAGTAATGTTTGCAGCAAGAATTACTCGGTTACTCAGGCATGATTACCGCATGGTATTTTAATTACTTACGACAACGCGTGACTCAGCGAGACAAAATTGATCTAAAATATAAGAACTAAACGCTATATCGTAGAAAAGATCTAAAGAATATATGGCGACAAAGGAAATCCCTTTAAACATTTAGGGGGAATACTTCCACCCTTCGAGTTTAGGGTAAAAATAAAAAATATTACCCTCAGAATTGTGGGTAATTCAAATATAACCTCGTAGTTCGGGGTAAAAAATTATATCCCTTATAATTTGGGGTAAAAAAATCACCTTATTTGAGGTAAAAAAAAAATTTTACCCTATAAAGTTGAAATTATCGGAGTTTTAGTTACCCCAGATTGTGCCACTCAATACGCGAGAGGGAAAAAAGAGGGGAAAAGGGGGATTTTCGCCAAACATTTTCCCCAGGAGTGAAAATAAAACATTTTTTACAGTTCCTGGGACAGGGAATTCTCTGGGGAGGCGTGTAATAAAATAGAAAGAAAAGGCGAGGTGGAAGAGAAGGAAAAAATTAGCTCGAGGGTAAATAGAAATGTGAAAGAGGAGGTTGGGGTTAAGCCCCTGAGGGGTTTAAGCCCCTGGGGGGTTCAGCTCCTGGGGGGTTCAGACCCTGAGGGTTCAGCCCCTGAGGGGTTTAAGCCCCTGGGGGGTTCAGCCCCTGAGGGTTCAGCCCCTGAGGGGTTTAAGCCCCTGGGGGGTTCAGCCCCTGAGGGTTCAGCCCTTGAGGGATTTAGTCCCTGAAGGATTAAGCCCCTGAGGGGTTCAGTCTCTCAAAGTTTAACCCCAATTGATGCGAATTAATAAATTAGAGGGTGAGGGGAGAGTGTGGTGAGGGAAGTGTTATTAATAAGTTAACATCTCATGAAATGAGACATCAAGAAGAGAAGCAAGTAGGAGCTAAGTAGGCGTTAAGTAGAGCTTTATGGTGTCAATATCGGTACAGTTCAAGATTTTTGTTGCTTTTTTCACTGGGGCCTTTACAAGTGTCTTGTATCTCATTCTTTACACCGAGGGCTAATGGGTGAGCAAATGAGGGCAAAGTATACGGACCAACCTTTAAAAAATAAGGGTAAAGTAAGGACGAAGTGAAGGAAAGTGTTAGGATAAAATGAGGGGAAAGTTAGGACAGAGTCAATGAAAAGAGAGGGTAAAATGAAAGCAAAATTGAAGATAAAATAAGGCTAATTTAACGGCACATTAAAGTCAAACTGAGGGTAAAGTGAAGATAATTTCAGGATAAATTAAACTCGAACTGAGGGTAAAGTGAGGGCTATTTCAGAACATATTAAAGCCAAAACTGAGGGTAAAGTAGACGAAAGGGCAAAGTAGACGTGAGGGCAAAGTAGACATGAGGGCGCAGTAGATATGAGGGTAAAGTAGACGTCTATGCGTAGATCTCCTTGCCGGACTGTGCGTAGGAGGATGTGAGGGGAAGGCGCTTGGGCTCGTCCAGAGGGTAGGAGCCCTCGTCCTTCTTGCGCATGCGGTAGACCACGAACATGACGAGCAGGATGGCGCACAGCAGACCTACCACCGCGCCCCCGATGAACGCTGCACAGCACAGCACAGCTTAGTGGATGATGGTATATGAACGCTGCACAGCACAGCACAGCTTAGTGGATGATGGTATATGAACGCTGCACAGCACAGCTTAGCTTAGTGGATGATGGTATATGAACGCTGCACAGCACAGCACAGCTTAGTGGATGATGGTATATGAACGCTGCACAGCACAGCACAGCTTAG